TCTATCCTGTAATCCACCCTTTTTCCTTTCGTTTGTATTTCCAGTTTGGATGCCTTGTCTATTTTATAATCCACACTTTTTTCTTATGTGATACTTCTGATTCCACTATTTCTGCATCAAGCAAGATTTGTTTCATATCTATCATTAACATAGATTAATTAACATTTTTTAGACATAGTCTATCCATAGAAGCAGACATCCTTACTGGTATTGTTGATATCGTGGCTACTAATTTCTGGCCCCATTCTTTGAAGATCTCCTTTAATATTTCAAATGTTACAGTATGTGTAATTTTGTAAATCCCAATCCTAAAGGCAAATTGTTTTTTTTCTTTTTTGCCTGGATTTTAATCCCCTCTAGTATCCAATTTCAATCATAAGGTCTCTTTTCTCTGTTATAACTTGCGGTGGTCAAAATAACTCTGGTTCTCGTGAAAAGCTGTTCATTTTATATAGTTAATTCCAAAATGTTATAGTGAAACTTTTACTATAATTCAATATTCCAAATTTGTCTGGACCCTTAATTCATTTATAACTTTCTTAGTTCAAAATCTCGTTTAGCTTTTTGCCATTTATTTCGGGTTCTTAAAACTTAGTTAATTTTTCTTTTGTTCAGGAATAAAGATACACTCACCAGGTGACTTTTCAGACTTGTCATTCTGAAGAACTCTAATAGTCTTAAGATATTTAAGTAAACACTTTCCAAAATTGATTAGAAGTGAGGTTAGCAAACTTTGGCCAAGGTTGTGAGCTTGATGATTAATCCCTTCATCTCCTGGCACTCAGACCTGCTGGAGGGAGCTATCCTGCCATCTCCCTTCAAGGAGCAGCCGTCTGGAGCACATGTGGGCAATCTCCTGTCCTCTCATCCAGAGAGGTTCCAAAGAACTGGTCTACTCATTGGTTCTTTGGTCTTTGCCATGGTCGTTGTCTCTGCTCTCCACGGAGATGTGTTTAGCTTGCCATGCGTCCACCGGAAATCATGGCTTAGTCTGTTTGAACCTGGTTGACTGTTTATTCAATAAACCATAATTAAACAACAATTTAATGCAGCGTGCAAATCTAGACTATGGATTGTGTTCTCTCTTCGTCCTCTAGTTAGCCTTCTGAGACAAGCAGGTGTGTGTGTGTGTGTGTGTGTCTCCAAGTTATGTATAGCTTGATTGTTGAAAAGTTTAATTGTAGGTTGTACTAATACGCATTTTAATGTATTTTCCCCTCAGTAAATGTTACGTTGTACATGATGGTATGAGCAGTAGGACAACATAGTAAATTCCCTCTTGGGCATTGGTTTTCCCCCCAAATGTGAATTGTCACTCGTATAGATTTGACTTGTGAGTCATTTGGCCTTTTGTGATCTTGCTTCTGCTTGCTTAATAAGCTGAATAATTTTCAGGTTCTTGCTACTATACATTTATATCCAGCTTTTCTTCCAGGATGAAAGAATGATATTGCAAATTTATCCAGGGATCGCTTAGTTCATGCAGGTAGAAAAAATGAGATGAAAGCTACCTTCTATATTTCTATTATGGCTTGGGTGTATTAGATGTATCCTTTATTAACTATCATTTTACAGCTTAACCATGGCTAAAGCATGGTTAGGTTATAAAGTATATCCTACACATTAGAATTCTGTACCCTCACCTTCATGTGTATCAGCTCATATTATTTAGGATAATAGTAATAGAAAGCAATAGTGATCAAGGAGCATTAAGTTTGGCATATCTAAAATAAAGGAATGGTATAGTAAATGAAAGGGCTTGAGTAAATAAACCAAGCTACATGTTGGAGAAGGGAGTGGAACTGAGTGTTGCTTGTTAGTTTGATTTTTAAAAAAATCACAAGGGTTAGGTGAATAAGGTTTGTGCGGCCATAGTGGCTTATAAACTGTCTTATAATGATACAAGCTGACAGAAACAAAGATTACAATACCTAACTGGTTGGGTTTTTTTTCACACATTGTTTGCTTTTGTAGAGCATCTGGTTAGCCAAATGACTTGCATGCTGGCACGATTAGCCAGATAAGTTAAAAACATAATGGTTGCATTCACACAATATGTTAAACTTCATTAATTTTAATGGTGTTTGTTTTTTCTGGTTTAGCATCTTGACCCCAGTTTCATTAGTTTATTGTTCTGTGGGTAATGCTAATTCAGAAAATAGGTTAATTCAGTGAGAAAGTTAAATGTGTTGTGTGAACCCAACCAAAGTACTATCCAGAGTATGATTTCTGACTTATTGCTATTAAACTAGGCTGGGATTGTTAACCAGAGTTAATCCTGTTTTAGTATTCCTAGATGGTTTTGAAAAGACAAACCAGAAACCTGTTTAAAGTGATGTGCTAATTAAGTAATTCTAGATCTCTTCAATGGTTTCCTTAGAAGAAGGTTGTGTTCACCATAACCCTTCTCTTTCCCAAGTATGCTCTGCACTGTAATTTACTTTCATAGGAGAAGCATACACAGTCACCATACAAAGGAATCGCCTTTTATATTGAACATTCATTTCTGCTTTGTGAGATTTTTATGCATTTTGTCTTTTTATTTTCAAAATTGGATTGGTAAAAATAGAACAAACTATGTTTAGCATGAATGTTCTCTTTAATTATTAGAGTTTTGCACTCTGAAATGATTTGAAAAAATTGTTTTTGAACTTGCATGAAAAAAGTACCTCCCTGATACTAATTAAAGCAGCTGCATGTTTTTCAGGTTCAAATAGAAGTTTTAAAAAACTGTGTCTATTTTAATTAGCAGCAGAAAAATGCTGTGCTCATAAAGAGTTCCAAAGCACTTTTCCCAAATCATTTCAAAGAATGTACAACTATTTGAAAATGTACAGCCCCGATAGTTGTATGTTTTCTTGTAATGATATACAATGGAATTACTTCCCATGCCTTTGCATGCTTTGTTTATTGAAATTCTTTTGTGAGCAGTAGTTTTTAAAAATGATCCTGTTGTGTCTAAATTGTGAATGTGAAACAGAATGCATTTTTCCAGTAGGGTGTTTGCATGATTTAGAGAAGAGCTCCCTCCAAAGGGGTCTCATTCTTTCAGGGAGAAGCAAATGTAGTGACAACAAATATTTAGACTTGTTGCAACCACTTTATTTTTTTTTTTAATGTTTTGTAAATGCAAATCATAGACTAGCAAAGATAATGTTTGTCTGGCTTGATTTTTTTTTAGTCCAGTTAGAACTATTTAAAGTCTTAGTAGTTTAAATTACTACATAAATAAATCTCTATAGAATGATTACCCCAAGTGCTCACATTGCAAAAGCATTTTCTCATATGACATGATGCTGGTTTTATTTGTTACGTCTTAAAAGCATTTTCTCATATGACATGATGCTGGATTTATCTGTTACGTCTTGTGTTTATTAGAATTTTCTGAAAGCTCTGTGAAGTTTAATGTATTATAATATGGCCTTTGAAACCATGGTCAGAACACCCTTTAGAATGAATTTACGTTATTGCTTTTTACCATGCATCAGTGATATTAACAGCTGAAATTAGTAAGTGGGAATATGTGCAAGTTCTGTTATGTGTAGGCATACGAAAGTGGTGGTTGTGGTTGATTGTGTCGCGTCTACAAATAAAAATGACATTTGTATTGTGAATCATTCCAAGAACTCCAGAGTAATGTTCAACATTTCTTTACTTTTTTTCACTAATGGCTGACACAAATAGTGGAATGAAAATGTCAGTACCTATCCTGTCGAAGGGATCTTTATAGGAAGCATAGCTGCAATGCTGGACACAAACACAAAAGATTGAGAGTGTTGACTGTGGATAATGAAAATGTTTTTGTATGATACAATTCACTTTCTCCAAGTGAAATTCTTAAAGTACTGAAATTGACCCCTACAAGCAGTGAAGTTTCTCATTTATACCTGTTCACATCTTATTTTACTATATTTTCTTAATTTTTTTTGCAGATGGGTAATGCTTTTGCAGTTATGCTTCTCATGAATTAATTTGAAAAATATTTCTGCTGACAAAGCAAATGTGATCAGATTAATTCAGTTCATACTAGGGACTGATAATTGAGCCTAAACATTTTCATGGTTAACTACTTTGGAAAACTTACAGTATGTGGATTAGATCATGGTCATAAAAGAGGGGAAGGGAGGCTAATTAATGTTCCTATTCTATTAAAGAAGGCTGTGTATCCTTTTGACGCAATCAATCGTTCTTACTAGCTTGAGAACTGAGCCTGCACTCCTTTATGCAGCAGTGTACATATATTTCTGCTCTTTTACTGTAAATCCAGTAGAATTATAAACCACCACCACAACAGATATCTAAAGGGCAGAAGACATCTGAAACTAGCCTTTGAAATTCTGAGCTTCAGGTCTAAGATATGGGGATAGATTTGGGGGAAGATAGAGATAAGGGGAAAGGTGTGGCTTCCTGAACCTGAGATAATGGATGCTCAGAGTTATGATGAATTGGAGAAGGACTATAAAAATAATGAAGGTATAGATGGCAAAATTCAGCATTCATATTAGCTATAAGGAAGTATTATTTTTGAAAATGCATGGTAATAGCTGGACTAAAAAATACAAGCAATGAAATGACTTCAGGGCAGAATTAATCCAAGGTATGGCTAATTAGTGTTAGAGAGGGAAAAAAAGTAATGTAAAAGAAGGTAAAAATTCCCTTGAGTCCAGTTTGATTAATGCTTTCTTGTTGTCAATACAAAAGATGACTTGCTATTGCCTTGTTTCAGGATGGTGTTTTTCTTTTTTTTAACTTTCCAGTTTAGTCTACAGCCTTGGAATTTTCTGGTGATCTCCCATTCAGTACTAACCAATTCTAACTGCTTAGCTTTTGGGGAATCAGCCACCTCAGGTTAGGTAGGTCAGCCACCTCTTGTAGATAGAAAATATTTGTGCAAATGTATTGGAGGGGATAATTCTCAATGTTTCTTCTAGCAATAGCATCAATATCACTAAAGCAGGTTCAGCTTCCAACTTTAAGTTATACCTTATTTTATTTGGCAGGAACCGTTGGGGCTCAGCCCCTACTCATGGTGCCCCGACGACCTGGCTATGGCACCATGGGAAAACCTATTAAACTGCTGGCCAACTGCTTCCAAGTTGAAATCCCAAAGATTGACGTCTACCTCTATGAGGTGGATATTAAGCCAGATAAGTGTCCTAGGAGAGTGAACAGGTAAGTTACCATGGGTAATATTATTTTAACTTACTAATACTGACTAGCTGATGAAGTGAGATGCTTTCAATAGCTAGTGCTGATCAGACACTCTTGTTTGAGGAGAAAATATTTCATTTGATAGTTTTCTTGACTTTTTTAAAAAAATAGCTGATGCTGAGAACATATTTTACTCTGGATCCAGGAATTTGTAGCTCGAACGTGCATTGTTTTACATGGACACCCACATACCGGAAAGGAATTAAAATTCATTTGTAAAAACAGCATATGTCTTTAGCATTGACAGAGCAAGTAGAACGTGGTAGAAGTGAGTAGCATCTTTGTTTTAAGATTCATTAGCATTTTAAGTAATATGGAAGCAAGTAGAATTCAAACTGAAATTAAATATAACTTTTGAAAGTTAATGTTCATCATGAATCTGGTTTAGTCTCTTAGCACTCTTTTTGTATACTGAAATTATACTGTGGGCTTCTAAGAAAGGCCATGTCTGTAGTACTGTTAGAGCAATATGGGGTTTTTTGAACATATATTTGCTTTACTAGATGATTCATATTTTTTGTTAGTTGATAGTCAACTTTTAAAAATGCTTGTTAATATATTAATCAGAACACAAAGTCAGCCAGTTGCAGATTAGATTTGAATAGGCTAAGAGCCCTTAAATCTAAACTGGCATTCTTTCTCCACACGGGCCAAAGAGTTGCCTCTGAGAAGCCCAAGACAGAACATAAGCAGAATAGTAACCTCAAGCCCTTGTTCTCCAGCAGCTGGCTTTGAGAGGCAAATTGCCACTGTTACTAGCAATACTATATAGCAATCATCTTGACTAAAGGCCATGAACTGCTTTGCAATGAAGTTGTTAATCTCCTTTTATAACTGTCCAAATTGGTGGCTGTTGCTGAGTCCTGTAATAGCAAATTTCAGTGTTCAACAATATACGGTAAAATAAAAAATTCTATCTGTCTTCAATCAACTGTCATTCCGCCTCATTGTACAACTTATCCTTCTAGTTTTATGCAAGAGCTTTCTATTCACTTTCACCATACCATCCATGATGTTATATACATCATTCTAACTTGTCTTTTTTCTATACCAGAGAACTCCAAATCATAGGAATTTTTCCAACCCTTTTGACATTTTTGTTGTTCTTTTCTGCATCTTCTCCAATCCTAACAGTTGTATGTTTAAGGTGCAGTAAACAAAACTGCACAGTGTCCATAAGCAATCCCAGTTTTAGATTTATATTTTAATAAAGGCTTTATTAGAACTAACTGGAAATTATAGACATGGGTAACTTTTTTCATGTATTACAGTTTTTGAACCCATAGGTAAGGACTCTGTCTCTTGGCCCCTAAATGGTTGAAAACAGGTAGTTAAACTTAACTCGAGTTTGACTTCAAGAAAACAGAATCCTGAAGTCCTCTGAATGGAACAGTTTTAATGCCAGAGTTTATGGTGTTCTTCCTATTGAGGGATAATATATTTTGTCCACTAGGCAAATAAGGTAACCTTGTGTAAATTAAAAGGAAAATGCCTTCAGTTCAAAATCTTTTTGGTTCTGCAATATCCATATCATGTGAAATCATGTTCTTGTAGCTGACTGACTTCATACTTGCTCAGGAGTTTCATCAGCTAATGTTTATGTGCTATGCAATGGGTGTCCACGGCTAGATTTTCCATAATGCTTCCTTTATTATTTCTGTAATATTGGTCCATGCTATTTAAACACTGGTCTTTAGGAGATATTGAAAATATGTGTTTTGACATTTCAGTGAATTTGGTGTGTCAAAAACAAATTGATAGAGTTGGGTTTAGATCCTATGATCATAGTCCATTGGGGTCTGTTAATTTTAAAGAATGGCATTGCTATATAATTTTTAAAAAAATTTAGTTATAAATGAAAAGCGTAGATAAATAACAGTTTTATTATAACATATTTTAAAATCATATATATTTTTAAAAGGACTTTTTGCAACTTTAAGGTTATATGGCCAACAAAATTCTATGTAGCTATGATACCAAATATGTATTATTTATTTGTATTAGATTTTTGTTCCACTTTCTATTCAAGACCTCCCTCCCTCCATATTCCTCACCACCACCCTTCTTGTGGTTATGCAACAGATTAATGTTTTGTTTACCATATCTTGAAGTTTCAAGGTGAATAATATTAAACACAAAAGTCTGTTTGCTGTTCAAGAGTGACTTAGAATATTTCCTTTTCAAAAGCTGTAGACCAGTGTGTCTGCTGTCAATATCTTGGAACCTAGAGAGGTTCAGAGAGCATTTAATCTCCAGTGATCTTGAAAAACAGTGCAGTAATTACAAAAGTCATCATGAATTCATCACAAAACAGTAAGAGTCCTTCAGCAGTGAAACCAATGACCAAGATTGTTGGTGAGCTCCTTCTGGATATCTTTTTGTTAGGGATGCTTTAATTTGAATTAAAGATCCCTATCTTTTCCATCTCTATAATTCTCTGAACTCCTGAGAAACCATACTTTGCATCACCTAGTTTCAATAACTGAAAACATTCAAGGAGTGGCATCTCTAGAGAACCTTGATGAAGCTGCAGTCTTGAGTGGAAAACGCAGGATGTACAAAAGGATGGGAGCCAACCTAACTTAACTGTTTGTAGCTTAGAGGTTTTCCAACTTTCCATTGCAGATGGATAAAGTGCCTTTTTACACATGCTTTGTTAACTTCAAAATTATAGTACATTCAAAGATTCCTGTTTTTAAAGACTCTTCAGAAGCATCAAATGGTCCATGGTGTTATGGTCTAGCTAAATAGGATCCACTTTATGCTTGTATTAGCATCTTCATTAACTTCCAGTTTGTTTCAAAGGTCAATTGCAGGTCGTTTTTTTTTTTTAAAGAACCAATTGCTTTTCAAATTTCATAAATAAGACATTTTCTAAAGAAAATGACTACATGTTGGCTATATGTTTTTAAAAGTTGGTAAATGGGCATGAAGAGAATTACGAATTCAGAGCTGACATGAGACGATGTTCATCACTGCCTTTCAAGGGTGGCAAGGGAGGCTGCCATTCTTTTATAGTAGCTGTTAAACCTCAGAAGACAAAATAGATGTCTGTGACAAAATGTGATCCATAAGAAAACTTTGATGTGCAGAACAGGAGTCTTAGAATCGTCTTGAGGTATATAATAGCCAAATGTGAGTAAAATTAATGGAGCCATATCATCTGATCTTAAAATGCAGTGGTTGATATCAAAGCTCCTGAGAAGATGAACAGGTCCCCTGCTTCTCTTAGATGTCTACTCATGACTATAGAGAAATTACTTTTGATCTGCCCCCTCCCCCATCTGATTCAAAAGTAGATTGAAGTGGGATCAAAACACTAGTTTTATTTAGAAGTCTGGACTGTTTGGTTCTGGTGTGTTATACACTAGTCAGTAAAACTGAGAGCATTAAAATGGCCTTTCCTTCTGACAGTGAGAATTTTAGTAAATGAATAGATTTTTTTTTAAATCTCTAATAGTCTAATCTGAAAGAGATACTGGGAATTCATAGCATAAATAGCATTTTTAATGTGGTAGAGAAGGAATACACAATCAGATCAGGGTAAAGATAGTTTCTAATCTACCCACACTGAAGAAATACAAAAAGTCTGTGCTTTAGAGGAAGCCAATCAGATGAAGTTGCTGTAATAAGAAATACAAGGGTACGTAAATAACGAGAAAGCTTTGCATAAGGGAATTCAGAGAAGTTAGAAAACACAGGAGCATGGTATGGCTTGTATAGCATTTAAACACACACTGCAAGTTTTTATTATTTATTATTTTGTCTTTTCAAATAGAAAAGCTATATAAAGGTACTGAGAATACAGCTGTAGGCCTCTTCCATCTCCCTTGTGTGATGTTCAGACTTTTTTTTTATTAATGATATAGTACCGCTTAACTCTGTTTAATAATTACAGTAAATATAATGAACTTCTTTTATTTTTTCTCTCTGAATGCCATGCTATTTAAATGCAAATATGCTTCCCCCCCCCCTCTTTCATTTCCCTAGGGAGGTAGTAGATTCAATGGTGCAGCATTTTAAAGTGACAATATTTGGTGACCGTAGACCAGTTTATGATGGTAAAAGAAGCCTTTATACAGCCAATCCTCTCCCTGTAGCAACAACTGGGGTAAGATAGTTACATGGTTTTTTAAATCTGTAATAGAGCTAAGGCTACAAGAAATTACTTCAGTGTTATTATTGTTAAAATTTTGTTTTGTTCAGTTTTTATACATGGGGATTTTATTTATTTGACTTACATACTACCAATTTCAACAAAGTGACTGACAACAGTTTACAGTAATAATATAAAACATCCAGGGTAAGGAACAATAAAACGTTCAGAGCAACTTAGGCATTTCTTTTAAAACTAGCACCCTGTAGCAGTAGGCTCCCACTGAGAACAGTCTTAAATGAGTATCATGAATTGCTTGATATTTATTTATTTAGCAAATGTATATAGTTGCCCAGCTCTCAAATGTGGCTCTGGGTAGTGTACACCAAAACAGTTAAAACAAGTATAAACAACCATTAAAAGCAATTAAACATAAATAGAACTAAGACTGTGGGAGATAACGCAATTCTACATTGCCTAAACCAGTAAACCTAAATCTTTTCAACAATTGCCGTAGTAAATGAGGGCACCTTATTGTAAGGCCAGGTTGTGGATTTCTAGTTCTCACGATGTGCCAATACAAATATATGTAAATTTTTTTGCAAATATATTGAGTTTACAGTTCAGAAGGGAGAATGTTTTATTACAATAGAATCTTATATCCATATTTAAGGTTCAATATACTGTTTTAAATAATTTCCTTTCCTTAAATGTTTGAATTTAACTTGCTGTAATTTCCTTAAATGTTTGAATTTAACTTGCTGTAATTTCCTTGTCTTCAGTATAATTGTCTGGAATTACTTCACTGAATAGCCATAGGTCTAAAAACTGGGAAATTAAGGTCTCTTTAAATCATGTAATGGAGATTGATTAGCACAGAAATGGAAATAAAATCTGTAGGTAAATCACTTGGCTTTTCACACTGAGATTGACACTTTTACTTCCCGTTCTATGACTTTTTCTCCCAATAGGTTGATTTGGATGTAACATTGCCAGGCGAAGGTGGCAAAGATCGTCCCTTCAAGGTTTCAATAAAATTTGTTTCCCGGGTAAGCTGGCACCTGTTACATGAAGTTCTGACGGGACGAACCTTACCTGAGCCTCTGGAATTGGACAAGCCAATCAGCACTAACCCTGTTCATGCTGTTGATGTGGTGCTACGACATTTACCCTCCATGAAGTAGGTTTCCTGCTATGCCCTGTGCCATTTATTTCTAAAGTTAATCTTTTGAAGAGTTTTGCTTTTAGACTGCCATGCAAGGGTTTGGGGGATGATGAGAGCATGCATTTTGCATTAGTGAGATCACTGATAGTCTCTCAGTAGTGTTTGTTGAGCAGATTACTTCCTGTAGAAATGTACAGGAAGATTCTTGAATAATTGGAAAGGTTTTCCACAAGGATGTCATTAAGAAAAGATAAAGGGCAATGGGAGGCTTGTGGTGAATCCAAGAAGTGACAGACAATAAAACACTTAAAGCAGGAGAAAGGCCAGCTGCATTGCTTGTCTTGTGTATTAGGACTGTATCTTGAAATGACAAAATATGTGTTTTTAAAGCAATTTTATATGCAGATACATTTCCAGGAGGCTGATATTTATAATGGGATTGGAGTATCCTTCACCAGTCCCTTGAAAGTTTGGAAAAAAAATCCATATTCTTTGCCACCTGTTTATTAGTAAATTCAGTTCATTGCCTTCAAGGTTAAATGTTCTACAAACCTGGTTTTCCCTACCTCAACATACCCCCTGCTTTTTTTTTTTTTTAAAGGCAGCCCCTTGTAGGTTGTAGAGTTTGAGGGAAAAGTAAAACTCCAGATTGAGTGGTACTGAGGAAAGTGAGGTGTGAAACACTCTTATTTTTTCTTTTGTCTTCTGCCATGAATTCATTGGGTAATTCAAGCAAACTATTTTCTCTTAGCATGTTCTTTTTCTCAGTTTTGGGGGGGAAAATAGGTGTATATCACCAGGTGATAAACCCAAATCCTTTATGTGAAGCCCTTCCACAGACAGAAGGTGCTAAACCCAGCTATTTTTCACTCCTGATTAATAATTCACTCTACTTGTATTAGATTTCAACTGACATAATTCCTAGCACAACTGTAGAGCATCAAGCTGAGGAAAGCTCTACTAGAAGATCTTGTCTAAAAGTGTATTTTCTGTTTCCAGGCTCAAAATGAGACCTAACAATTAGCAAATCCTTTCAATTTAAGTGGGGTTTTTGAAGTGCTGTCTTTTGCTTTATTGTATTTATTTTCATTATTGTTTATTGTTTTATTATTTATTGTTATTATGAACCACCAGGCATTCATGTAGATTATGATGACCCATTAAATAAATGAACCTGGCCCTGTCTCTACGTAGGTATACACCTGTAGGCCGCTCCTTTTTCTCTGCTCCAGAAGGCTACGATCACCCGTTGGGAGGTGGCAGGGAAGTATGGTTTGGATTTCATCAGTCTGTTCGGCCAGCAATGTGGAAAATGATGCTGAATATTGATGGTAACCACCAGTTCTGTATTTATAAAAGATGGCTATTGTGTAAGGGTATGAAAATGCATTCATGCATGTGCGCGCACACACACAATTAATTTTGGTGTTTTGTAAGTAAAAGGCCTTCTGTTTTACAAATCTCAGTTTTCTACAGTGCCTTCTATAAATTAGGGAAACAAAACAGACATTATTTTGCCTCCTGGTAGGAAATAACAGGGATGCCTCTGTCAGATTTGTAACTGGAGGTATGAATGTATGTTGCAATTCTGAAACATATTACCATGCTTGAACCTCAGTCCTTGCTCATTTTTTTCCTTGGAATTAACCCAGGGAAGAATAAATTGCATTCACACTTCAATAGTCTACATTTTATTCTGATTCCCATGATAAAACACTTTCTGGAGAAATGCAGAAATATTGGATGCGTTCTCTCATAAATACGCTTTAACTTTCAAGGGTAATTTTTTTCAGCTGCTTGAGGATGTATTCTTAAGAATCTTAAGGAATGTTTTGCAGGATTAAATTATGACCTGCATAATTCTGTATTTCTTGGAAGAATCCTAACATCTGCTGGTTTCTAAGTGGTCAGTCATTGGGTCATATTCCATTCTGTCTTTATCTCTTCCTTCAGCCTATCTCACTTGGGTAATGAATATGTATGGCAGCTCTTGTTTTGGATTGTATAATTGTACAATATTATAATTGTACAATGTATTGGACACAGTACAAATCAGATTAGGAAACATAAATTCAGTCAATATAAGTCAATGTAACAAAGTTGTAATTAAGTTTTCCACATGACTTCCCCTAGAAAGCATACACACTTTTATCTGTGTAGTTCTTCAGGTATGCTAACAATATTTGTTTCTAGTGACTTTACTGTTTTCTGTGAAGAAAACCCTTAATATTGGGTAAACACACGTACTGTTCAGGTACTGTATTTGCTAATATTCCAGTAAATGAATGATCAAATCTTTGGATTTGATAAATACAGTTTTTAACCATGTAATGGCACTTCATTTTCTAAATAATTGTCTATTTTTCATTATCTGGAAAAAGTGTTTCCAGTATTGATATAGGACATAAAATTGTGTCTGTGAGCCGGGGAGTTGTCAGTGAGATTAAACATGCCAGATCATTTCCCCATTGAAAAAAAACCAAGAGAAAACCTACAACTGCCATTTAATAGCTTTCCTGGGAAAATTCCAGTCAGGCAAGTTTATTGAAAATGTAAATTTGTAAAAATGCTTAATTGTGCTTGTTAAAATAGAAGCCTCATCCTATGACATTGGAAGTGTTCTTCATTTAAACACTGCACACTTCCAGCCTACAAGCCACCCCGTTGTGGTTAACAATAGAACTGATAAATAATAATGAAGAACAAGAATAAAAGAACCCAACTTTATAAAAGTATAAAATTGTATACAGTCATGAACAAGTGTCACAAAATTACTGCATCAGTGCAGTAAGCCACAAGACAATTAAAAATAGATAACAAATACATGAGGTCAGCAAAATAAGCACAGCTACTGGAGAAAGCTAAAGAATAAAAATTTGATGATTTTCCTTGAAACATGAGAAAGACTGGACAAGGTGGGAGTGAGAATTCCGGAATGTTGGTGGCGCCCTCTGTTGGTTCAAAAATGAGCTTCAGGGGCAGCACATATAAAAGGTCCTCGTCTGCAAAGTTTAGCTCCTAGAAAGCAACAGATGGAAGGCCTGAATGGTACAACTTAGCTAAGACAGATGTTGAAAGCTCCTATCTGAGTACCCTGATAGAAGCCTGGCTGCTGTATTTGGACCTGTTGCATTTTCCTGACCTCCTTTAAGGGCATCCCTGAGTAGAGTTTTTAGCACTGGGTTTCCCACATATTGTGTTGTGCCATGGGTAACAGGTAGCCCCCATTCCCATTGTATTCCACTCCTGTAATGGATACCTCTTGACACTGGGCTGGCCAGTTCATCTATATGAGGTGTGCATCTATAGCTTACTTTCAATAGATTGCTGCAAAGAAGTTGCTCTGCTGTGCATGAAATCCCAATCCAGAATCAGAATACAAATGATTTCATGCAGAGCTTATTGAACTAGTATAATCAGAAAGTAGCCATTGCATGGATAATGGTAGCCAGGTGCAGAGGAATGCAGAGATAGCCTTGAAGAAAAAGTGCAGCAGGCATCACAAAAATATCAGCTTGGCCTGGAAAGGTAGAATAGGGTGAGGAAGAAACTCAAGATTGCCCTGCCTTAACATTCTTTGGTATAAGAGATAGGGAAAGAGAAGCTCTGCCAATCTTTCAGGAATCACAGTATCAATATCAGTAAAGTAGAATTCTAGTATTTCTTGTGGTGTTTCATGACATAGTGTACCTCAAAAGGCTGACACTGGGTCAGCCCTCCTAAAGAAATAGCACATCCACAGATGAATGATGGTGATCATTCACAGAGGGAAATAAGTACTCCTAGCCACCACACTGACCTGAGGATTTAGGGGACAGCACAGATCTAGGAGGACCCCCTACTGCTGGTAAACCTCAAGTGTGTTTTTAATAAAATCATATTGGTGAACAGTTTGGTAGTGATGAGTGGCTGGATCTGGCAAGTATTACTGAAACCTGGTTAGGTGAAATCAGGGGTGTAGGCTTCACAGAGATTTGTCATCCTTAGTTTTGGATCCTGCAGCAGCTGTGGTCCCTAGGAAGGGGGAGTGGCAATGATCTTGAAAGATAACTTAGCTGTGACCAAGAGTCCTGCTCTGGAGCGATGGGGTGTGAATACCTGTCTGCAAGGTTGGCCTGAGGGACAGGTTGAGGATCCTGTTTGTCTGTTGCCCATGTTGATGCCAGATAAGATCCCTACAGGAGCTTCTAGAACGCATCACCAGGCATTGGGATTTTTTGGCTTCTGGTGGTTTTGGTTCTGTGGTTTAGAAGCTGCTAGACCTAAACTATGGCTAGATCATTTAAAACAGTATTCTACTTTATAATGAAGTAGTTCCTTCTCTCCAGTTCTCTCAGACCAACATAAAGGCTAAGCGGTGTTTAACTTGCTCTCTCTAAAAGAAAATGTTTAACGTTAGCCTGAAATTTTAAATTGCTGTGGAAGTATTTATTTTATTGATTTATTGTGTTTATGTCTAGCCTTTCCTACAAAAGTTCAAGTCAGGATATGTGGTATCCCCTTCCCCAGTATTGGTCCCAGGCCTGGGGTTGATATTTGTCATTGTTTAATGGCCCCTGTTTGTTTTCTGGGTTTTGTTAGCAGAGTATTTTAGTTTGGGCTGCCTGTTGTTTTAATGATTTTTAGTTTTGAATGCCACCCAGAGTCCACTGGAGTTTGATGGCTAATAAATTTAAATAAATAATCTTTATAACATTCTTGTGAAGGAAGAAAGGCTCAAATGTAGCAACTAGCCAAACGTCAGCCAGGTTGCTCCATGATTAAGTGGGAATTGAGTGTATGATTTTGTATTTCCAATATTAACCACAATCATTTACTGAGATTCCAGATTAAATTAATTCTATTTGGCTGGAAATTTCTGGACCTCACCTTCATTCAAAAAAGGAATTCCAGATCACAGAGTGAATATTAGGTCCAGTAAAAACAAAATAAATTTGAATCAGCTGAAGAATATTGAAAAGCATAAAACTATTTCAGCCATCCCGAAATACAATTATATTAAAATGCTTTTGTCCAAAAACTGGAGCTGGAAAGAATGTAGGGTATACACTTAAATATTGGAGTTGATAAGAGAATGTGGAATCCGCTTAGCAATAGCAAAGTCAATATTTATTCATGATATAATTTAAGTGTGGGGATGCCACTCTAAATACAAGACAAGTTTCCTACTTAGTGATTATGTCAGTGAAGGAAACTGTTTAAGTGGTACATCAGTCTTGTAATGATAATTCTCTCACAACCAAATATGTTAAAAATTCCCAGTGTTACAGATTGGCATATTTGATGTCATGTTTGCCACTGCATCTTGTCTTGATGCCAGCCTCTGAAACAGAATAAATTAGAAGAAAAACAAAGAATCCCTGGGCTTTGTAGGAGGAGAGCTGTGTTAGTCTGGCAAAAGGAGTCTGACAGCACTTTTCTGACTAACACATTTTATTAAAAGGCAGGAGCTTTTGTGAGATGCAACTTACAAAAACTTAAGCCTTTTAATAAAATGTGTTAAGTCAGAAAAGGTGTTACCAGACTTCTAAAGAATACCTGAGATGAAATATACACCCCCCAGTTGATGAGATCCTTCATTTTAGAGATTGTATGACCAGAAAGAAACTATTTCACTCTTCACAGCTTTGAAGAACATTTATTTCCTTAAATTTTATTTTTCTCTAGTTTCTGCCACTGCCTTCTACAAAGCACAACCTGTAATTCAGTTCATGTGTGAAGTTCTTGATATTCACAACATTGATGAACAGCCACGACCTCTGACTGATTCTCACCGGGTAAAATTCACCAAAGAGATAAAGGGTAAGTAAAAAAATGTAGCACTGATCCACACAGTGCTATTCTTAAATGCTGCAAGAGGTGCTTGCTTAGATCTCAGAAGTCTCATTCATCAAAAATGTGTAATGGCACATCGTTTTTTGTACCACATAGTGACTAATTAGCATGGTATGTGTGTGATGCATAATGGATTTGTATTCTTAAAAATGTAACCTCTCCCAGTAAACAATGCAAGGATTTTTCCAGCTGTCTGGACTGCAGAGATTTCAGTGTGCATTGCCAGAAGGCTCTGTTGGCAGCACCGTTGTGCACTGTGTCTTTATCTCTGGCTTCCTAGCCACATTGTAGCATCTGCATCATCTCTGCTTGACTTTTACTTTTGTCAGCTACCACAGTGCAGCTTCCTGACAAAACTAGTTTTGTTACAGTATATGCCAGCTAAACAGTCACATTACAAATGTGCCCAGTGTAAGACATAGTGAGCATTGAGTTATAAATGACAGAAATGGTGTGTACAAATAGAACCGTCTGAAATATTTCTACTTGTTTCGTTTGCTCCCTGATTCAGTCAACAATCAAAATATTGTCTTGTCTGGTGTAAGGGTTAAGATGTTGGACTACAAACTGGGACCCAGAATCAGGTCCAGTATCAGCCATGGAAACACAATGGATGACTTTGGCCAAGTCATTCTCTCTCAGGCCAACCCACTTTGTTGGAGATTGTTGTGGGAAAAATTAGAGGAGAGAGGATTATGTATGCCATCTTGAGCTCCTGGAGAAAAGGCAAGAGGTACCAATAAATAAATAAAAATATTGCCATTATTGGAATTGGGAGAAAGCCACCACTTGTGAGGATATATTTTGTGTGTACTTGAAGCTACTTTGGATATTTTAAATCAAAGGATGCATATACATATTTTAGATTAGCAGCAGTAGTAGCCTGCCCTTTTTTTCAGAGAACGTAAAGAGAAAAACTTTCTTGTGATATTTGTCATTGCTTCAGACAAAGCAGGTTTGCTGATTAGCCTCCATTTCATTTCTGATTATCAGTGCTCTGCAGTGGCATTTGGAGTAACAGCTTTGGTTTCGGTTCCTTTATGGCAGGCCTCAGCAGTGTTTTTTCCGGGATAGTATGCCATGGTGTGATCTTGTATGAAGAGGGATGTAAAAAGAAGTAAAAGACCTCAAATGTTGCAGGTCCAGAAAGTCTTACATTTTGATACTCTACCCCCCTTCCAAGGTCTTATATGTTCTCACTTGAAATCTTACAAAAGTGTAGCCATTTTAAGAATATGTGTACACTTGGCTTGTGTGGATACTGTCTGGCCAGTTTTGTTCTGTGAGAAGAAACATGATTATGGATTCTTTGATTTAGTATCATATTTGCTGTTTCATTTCCTTTTAGCATTCATAGGCTATGGCTTCCTTCCACACTGGAGATGGACAGACTTTTGAGAAGGAAGGAAGTCATTGTTCTCTGCAATGTGTCCACTCACTCACAGGTAGTCCTTGACTTAGGACTATTCATTTAATGACTGTTCGAAGTTACAGCAGCACTGAAAAAAGTGATTTCCCACTGGTACTCTCGCTTTTGACCATTGCAGCATCCCCGAAGTCATGTGATCAAAATTTGGGCGCTTGGCAACCAGCATGTATTTACGATGGTTGCAGCATCCTGGGGTCACGTGATTGCCATTTGCAACCTTCCCAGGGAGCTTCAGACAAAGTCAATGGAGGAAGCTGGATTTGCTTAATGATCACATGATTTACTTAATGACCACAGCCAAAAAGGTCATAAAATTGGGTGCGACTCACTTAATGACTGCATTGCTTAGCAACAGAAGTTCCAGTCCCAATTGTGGTTGTAAGTCAAGGACTACCTGTATTCATTTTAATCAAAAATTGTATTAATTTTCACTAAATAGTTTTACAGGTTTTTGGTAGTACTGGAATAGGAAAAAAGCCACCCCTTAACGCAAACATGGTTCTCTCTCAAAATTTGTATTCCTTGCATAAAGGAGTAACATGATGGCTCTATTTGTCTTGATTTTTCTAAGTCTGGACTTTTAGAGCTTTATTTCCCCAGATATGTCAAGCAGGGAGGAAGCATCAATAGGAAAAAAATGCCTTCAGGTGTTGTCTGTGCTCTTTGTGGTGGGAGAAAGAAAGTGCCATTTGCCGATATCAAAATCAACTTGTCTACATAGCCCAGTGGGTTTCCTAGATATCCCGAGCCTTTAGCTGGGCCAGCTTTGGGATAGTTCAAGCTAGCATATTAACATTCATGAGACTGATTTTTGATTTGGCACGCATAGAAAAGATACATTTAAGTCACCTTTTTTTCCTATGATGACAGGCTACCTGTGCCCCCTTTTTTGTAAACCCTGGAGCCCTCCAAGACTGGGCCATTGAAATTTAGCAGAAACTGTCAGACAGTGGTGCAATTTTTCATTTCTAATATAAGAAGTAAAATAGTGGATTAATCCTTCTGATTAACACACCAGTCATCACAGCAGTAACATAGCAATCCCATAAAATTGAGGAAAAGGGGAGGAGCCCAACATTCTCTTTCATTTTGGTGACATCAGTGCTTGGGGCTGAAAAAAATGTACAAAAGGGAAATTTTTAAAAAGCAAGCAAAGCCATCACTGCAAAATATTGCCTGGTCCAGTTTTGTAGGAAGGCTTAGGGGCTACAGATCTGTGGGACTATATTAGAAATGTCTAACCATTCTAATTCATTTCCTCCAAGGATATATGTAAAAATTGTAGCAAATCTTATGCAAGTGATGGATTTTTGTACATATGTCCAATGGAAAGTGGAAAGTATTAACATGATTTGTCCAAAGACCAGTTGGAGGGGTTTCATCTCTCCCAGATCCATATTTTTGCATTTGTAATGATGAATACTGAAAATGGATCCCTGCTTTGTAAAGCAGCTCCATAATAAGAAACCCTTATTCTGCTAGCTTGTGTCTGTTCAGGCGTTCTCTGACATCAGTATTTTCTCTCTCTTGTTTTCATCCAGGTCTGAAGGTTGAAGTGACTCATTGTGGAACAATGAGGCGGAAATACCGCGTCTGTAATGTTACACGGAGACCTGCCAGTCATCAGACGTAAGTACATGGTTAAACTACACAGTTATCACACTTGGCTAGAATATAATACATAGAATATGGGAGGAAAAAGTATCCATAGAGTCACAGACTTGTGCAAATTAACTATTCTTTCAATTCCGCTTTCCAGATTTCCATTGCAGTTAGAAAACGGTCAGACTGTGGAAAGAACAGTAGCACAGTATTTCAGAGAAAAGTACAACCTACAGCTGAAATACCCTCATCTTCCTTGTCTACAAGTGGGACAGGAGCAGAAACACACCTATCTGCCTCTTGAAGTAATATATTTAATATAGCAATTTTTCAAACAAGATCCCAGAATCTTTCATTTGTGTATTTGAAAAAGTTATTTTTTTAATTGCATACATTCTGTATATGTGAGCTTTCCTGTGAACTAAAGATAACATGCATCTAAAAAACCCTTTGCTCACAAAAACTTATGTTCTAATAAATTTGTTAGATTTTTAAGGAGTCAGTATTCTTTATGCCCAGAATTTTCCCTGAAACTCTAAGTGAACACATTAAGACAATATTAAGCCAAAACAAAAATAGTGTGACTTTTGGCATACTGTAGCCTTCTGAAAGTTGCAGTTGCAGCCCATGGGATGATGCTAAATTGGAAAATTTGGTTTGTCATCACCAGATCAGAGCTCCCATTGTTCCTGTATCAAGTTGAGAAACACTGGATGTAGAAGCTTTCCATTTTGTTTAAGTGTAATAGCATCTCACCATTTGAAGACCTGAAGGACCAAGTTAGGGATTGATCATCTTGGAGAAAATCTATGTGGTTGCTAAGGATTGACATTGACCTGATGGCACTTAATCAATTAAACAATAGTATCCAGGCAATTTATAAAAGTATTATCGATGCCTGTAGAACATGCTTCTCCAACCTTTGTGCCCTTCCCAGTTCCCAGACTTCTCAGCCATGGTCTTCATGCTCCCTGGGAAATTCTGGCAGTTGAACACCCATGTTTGGAAGACAGCAGAGTCATAGCAAGTTATTTTGGTGGTGGAGTTTTACATAGTATATAAGAAACATATTTGACTAGGTGCTCTGTTGTTGAGCTGTATCCTCTTTCAGGCACGTGCAACTGCACATGGCAGAGGAAGATTGATAATGGCATGCAGATCATGTGGGGAAATGTCTATACCACTGTAGTTCTTCTCTTTGGGAGCTGTTTTCCAGGAATAGTTTGAGAACCTTTCTGCCCGGTCACAGTTGCACAGTTGTTCATTGAGTGTCATAAGACTAATGCATAATATTTTTACAGGTTTGTAACATCGTGGCAGGCCAGCGATGTATTAAGAAGCTTACAGACAATCAAACATCAACAATGATAAAAGCAACAGCCAGATCTGCTCCAGATAGACAAGAAGAAATCAGCAGACTGGTTAGTTTGCCTCGGAATTAGAAAAATTATTAAAACGAGCTGGAAGGATCATTGAGGATCCAGTATGCTTGACCCTGTTTGTGTCCTCCTCACATCCCAAATATCTCCTCTCTTTTTTAACCATATCAGTTTACTGTTGTAGAACTTAGTATTGAAGTCAGCAATACTTATGCCAATGTGATC